TGTTCTTCCGAAAATTCAAATATTTAAAAGGACCAAGGTTGCAAGTACCTATGCATTTACACGTCAACATACCTGGTGTAGGTTCTGCAGCTCTTTGTACCCTACTTTCCTCGTTTGTTTCAACTGCCACCACATGCGTTTCCTTCTCTCTACTTGTGGCGTCTCTATCTCCCTTACACAGCACACAGAACTCCACCCGGGATGAATCACGCAGTAGCACTGTACCACAGGTGTCACACGCCTTGTGTAGCATCACATTGCCGGCTAACAACGCCTCTCCTATTAACTGAGCAGCCCTCTCGCTCGTATCCTCTGCTTCAATCTTGGCTACTTTTATTTGTGTAGGAGACGTATTGTCCACGTGTGTGATGGAATGGGATTGGGCATTTGAAGAAGTATCTGCACTTGTGTTCGTATGAGGTGTTGCGTTTCTAGTCTTGTTGTCTGTTGTAGTAGTGGCATGGGGTGTGACTTCAGGTACAGCCTTCCGCGGGGGTCGCTTGGCCATATCATACGCACACCCGAAGCAGCACATGTTCTTCTCTTTATCACACAGCAATACAGTGGTGCACTTATCACAGTAGGACCCGGACATGGCGTAGCCTTGTAGCATCTTCTCTCCAATTAAATCGGATATACCATCCCGTTTAGCCCGGCGTTTCCGCAATATTTCAGCGGGATCTTCACACACTACATTACTTTGCTTTGTCTCATACTCTGTTGTATCTGGTGAAACGCGTTCATTTTCCACTCGCTCCACCTCAGGGGTAGGAGACACCTGAACATCATGGCTACAACTAGGTTCCTTAGTTTCACTGTTAGCATTTTTAGCCTCAGATGCTTCGAGCATACACAACACACAGTATTCTATATTCGTATTGCGCGTACGCATTAGTACCGTACCACAATCAAAGCATGACTCAGCTAACATGGTATCCCCTCGCATTAAAGCGGGGCCTAAAGCCGCTGACACTCGATCTGTGCGTGACATGTCAAAGTGTGTATGAAAAGCTAAGAAGCTATATATTGAGGAAAGTGTGTATATAAAGAAATATGTATTGACAAATTTGTACAGCAAAGTACTTGGTTATTGTACAGTAGATTCGAATGTGAACTAAGCAGGTGGATATGTACTATACAGTTTCGGTGCATATCTGCAGTTGCATACACCCCAAACTCCAAAGTAAATAAAATAAATGTATGTGTAGTATAAAACAACTTTGCTTTCCATGTGAAAGTTGAAACGTGTTGTATTCACAGGGTTATAGGATTAATATAGTTTTAAAGCCCTTTTACTGGTTGTTGAGCTATTTTATTAGTTTTTGTATTTGCGATTGGTAGAAAATAATTCAAATATATTCAAAGGTTTAAACAGCGGCTATATAATATATATTTAACATATATTTAACGTTAAAAATAAGTAAAAGCGAATTGAAAGTAAACGTTTTTAGGCTCATCGGATGAAAAGGAATCGAGAAATAACTATTAAGCCACGGGAGAAGTTTATTACGAGAGCACTTAATCTTTAATCCAATCATATCAGTTGTACTACACGTTTTGGACCCCTGGTTTTAGATCAAAAGCTTTTCCGCTGATAAGTATGTATGCATACACAAGTGTACAAGGTTATGAGATATCACATCGTTTCAACTGCAGTGCATACAACAGCAGTACATACAGCGTACATACATATATACGTATACACCCCTGTTTAGAACCCATGTTATCGCTATTCTAACGAGAGAGCTACAGACGATAGTGTCAACCACTACAGAATACGGGTTGTATCATCTACAGTAGTACCACTTGGAGATCGAACAACAAACTCGTCGAAAGGGAGAGACCAGAGGTTTAGTAATATTCTACTCGACATTTAACTAGCTGGATGCGATTATAGCATTCCTTGCAACGCAACGACACCGTGATCAACAAGTATGTTTAAGTGGGCTTTAGTTATTGTGATTCGCAATTGTTTCCCGACATGTAGCTTGAGTTTGTGTATCCTAAACACTTTCGTACAAAATAATTACATGCTATGAAAATATATGGTATTTTCCTGATGGCAATGCTTGGCATGCAGTCATTGTCCATGCATCACAAGTAGAAGACATCATGTTGTATTCATATATATAAATATACTTATAT